AACAATCACTTCCATAAGCTTTTGAGTTTTAAATTTTTCTCCCTCTCCCTCCCCACCTCCCTCCCCAAGACAGTGCACAATCTGATATAGGCTATACATATACATTCCTATTAAACATATTTTCACATTAGTGATGTTGTAAGGAAGAATTAGGACTAATATGAGAAACCACCAGAAAGAGGAAACAAAACACAACAGAAGAGAAAAAATAGCAAATAGTATGCTTTGATCTGCATTCAAACTCCATAGTTCTTTCTTTGGATGTGGATAGCATTTTCCATCATGAAGTCTTTGGAGATGTCTTAGATCCTTGTATTGCTGAGAAGAGCTAAGTCTATCAATATTAGTCATCGCACAACATAGCTGTTTCTGTGTACAATGTTCTCCTGGTTCTGCTCATTTCACTCAGCATCAGACCATACACATCTTTCCAGGTTTTTCTGAAGTCAGCCTGGTCATCATTTCTCATAGCACGATAGTATTCCATTACACTCATATATCACAACTTGTTCAGCCATTCCCCAATTGATGGGCATCTTCTCAATTTCCAATTCTCTGCCACCACAAAAAGAGCTGCTATAAATATTTTTGTACATGTGGTCCTTTTCCCATTTGTGTGATCTCTTTGGGATATAGCCCTAGAAGTGCTCTTGCTGGGTCAAAGGGTATGCACATTTTTATAGCCCTTTGGGCATAGTTCCAAATTGCTCTCCAAAATGGTTGGATCATTTCACAACTCCACCAACGATGCATTAGTGTTCCAATTTTCCCACATCTTCTCCAACATTTATCATTTTCCTGTTTTGTCATGTTGGCCAATCTGATAGGTGTGATGTGGTACCTCAGAGTTGTTTTGATTTGCATTTCTCTAATCAATAGTGTTTTAGAGCATTTTTTCATATGGCTATAGATGACTTTAATTTCTTCATCTGAGAACTGTCTGTTCATATCCTTTAACCATTTATCAATTGGGGAATGACTTGTATTCTTATAAATTTGACTTAATTCTCTATATATTTTAGAAATGAGGCCCTTACCAGAGACATTGGTTGTAACAATTCTTTCCCAATTTTCTGCTTTCCTTCTAATCTTGGTTGCATTGGCTTCGTTGGTTCAAATACTTTTGGATTTAATGTAATCAAAGTTATCTATTTTGCTTTTTGTATTGTTCTCTATCTCCTGTTTGGTCATGAATTCTTCTGTTCTCCATAAATCTGATTGGTGAACTGTTCCTTGCTCTCTCAGTTTGCTTACAGTATCAGCCTTTATATCTAAATCAGAACATAGGTCATCTTTCTGCTGAAACTGGCACCATACTATCTCTGATAGTCATATCAGTACTTTTATGTGGTATCAAAGAGCTAGCCATAAAATGGGTGTCTACTGATTGGGGAAATCCTTAAACAATTATGGCTTATCAATGGAACAGAATATAATAATGCCTTATGAAATGAACATGAAAAATCCAGAGAAATATGGTAATAAAGATGTTAAAGAGGGAGTTTCTTCCTCTGCTCCCTTCTCCAATCTCAGTTGATGGAAGGCCCAAATTGTAATGATATGTTAACTAGGTTATAGAGATGAGTCCCAACCCTTTGTCGGATGTGAGTACTTCTCTTATTGAGTCAAAAAAGCAGCAAAGTGATTGAGTAAACAAATTAGCTATACCTCTGGGTACTTTAAATACCTAATCTCTGGATGAATTCAAAATTCCAGACTTGGAAATCCGAACCTGACAGGTACTTTTGGAGGAGATTGGGGATTAGGGAGAGGACAGAGGGAGAATTTGTTCACTTTCCACCCTCTACTCCCAAATTCACATTTGCCATTTAACTTTGAGAGGGAGCTATTTAACCATCAGGAGACACTAAATCCTGCAAGAAGCAGAGAAACTCACTCCAGACAGATGTGGTTATAGTGTTAGTTTCCCAAGGAGGGATTATTTTCAAGGAACGTGACCCCTTGCAGCGGAAAAGAAAGTAGGACCAAGAAGGGCACTCTGCCCTGAGAACTCAGATGAGCAATCTGCCAAAAAAAGATGTTGAACCCAATACTGCAGAAGGACCCTAAGAAGAGAGAAAGGAATTCTCTGCCCTATAGTACTAGGAGAAAATCTAGACTTGCCTTTGCCATGTATGTATCCCATATGTGCAACATACTACCATTATACTCTAGGTATGAACCCACTCTTTCCATAAATATTGTGTCTATTTGTGAGAGTGTGCCCCAGGTTTATGAGGCAGAAGGGCGATGTTTTGGAATCACTTTTCTTACCATGTTATTTGTGCCTTTGTATCCATTGGCTGATTGTTAATGCGAAAAAACACTGTTGGAGGCTCATAAGCCATGGTATTCAAAGTGTGGACCCAAAGGGTCTAGAACCCGAAGTGTCAGCCAACCTTTGGGGAATACTCCAGCTGTGGGTGCTGCATTTGTATGAGCTGATACAGAGTAGGGAGAAAAAAAAACAGACTTGGAGAAATACTATAAACAATTACAATGACGTAAGTGAAAATTGTTGTTTGTCTTTCATTTTCAGAGAGGACCAATGACATCATGGGGTGATGTCTTGACTTGCACCAGAATTGGATTTAAGTGAGGTAGAGTTGCACACAAAATCATCAGCCTCACTCTCTCTTCCAGAGTCATTGAAGTTCAGTTGGCAAGATAAAAGTCAGGATGACTGGCCATGGCCCAGGGTTCAGTGCATGATCTTGGCATCTTTTACGTCTGACCAAGCTCTAAGTGCTCCATGGTGCCTACTTCAGATGCCTTCATGGCCATTGGAACAAATTGTTCTCATTCACCCATTCCACTGGTAGAAGTCTTCGGATGTTTGGGGTAGACACCCCTCTAACTCATTGGCAGATTTAAGACTTGTTGGTTACCTCAACCTGGTTTAACCTGTCTGCCAAGACAGTTTACTGGGGTCTGACTGCTGCAGGTGCTATAACTTCTTGGAGCCACAGGTGAAAGATGGATGAAAGGTGAATGAGTAGCCCTGAAAAGGGCTCAGCAAGTCCTTATACCAGAGGTGTTAGTCCTCCTTGTACAACGCCCCCCAACACCCCAAATGAAAAAACCCTATAATGGGAAGTCAATCTCTCAGTATCTATAAAAAAAAATATTGGTCATGGAGAACACAGAATAAAATATACCTCCTTCATCTTGCTAGAGACTAATGGGGCAGACTGCTGCATTCATTGTTAGATGTAGTTATATTTGTTTAACTTTTTCTGTTGAGGTTGGAGATTGAGGTATATCTAGAAATGACTATGATACGGAAAGAAAAGGCATCAATAAAACTAAATTTTATGAAGAAAATCCCTATTTCAGGAATTAGGGTGATATATTTCCATTCTCTTCATTTAAGGCTTGTGTTTTGCTTATTATTTACAAGTCTCAGGTGATTCTTAAACTTTTTTGTGTCCCAGACACCTTCAGCTGCCATCTGGTGAAGCCCATGGACTCTTTCTCAGAATAAGATTTTTTTTAATTCATGATATAAAATTCATAGAGGATTACAAAGTAAAGGAATTATACAGAAATATAGTTATCAACATATTTTTAAAAATTCATAGACCCCAAAGCTAAAAACCCCTCCCTTACCTGGTTTTATTTTAGACACCCCTTCTCCAACACTCTATAATCCCAGTTGCTTCATGCCCCACAATTACTGGAAACTTAGTGAACAGGGTTCGCTCATTACATGGTCATCTGAGCGACAAATTCCAAAATCTGTGGCCAAATTCCAAATTCCAAAAAGTGGCCAAAATCTACATGGGAAGAGAAAGACAACTGATCTTAAAAGGTAACAGGGAATCTTGGAAGTAGTTGGAAGGGAGCATTTTGATCACTTTTGTTGTTAGAAAACTGCCTTTATTCTATTAGTAGTTGGGGAAAAAATTAACTGATATAGAAAAAAAGTTTAGTCAGCTGGAGAGGAATAAGAAGGGGCACTTTGGCCACCAACTAAGAGAATGGGTAACAAGCTCCCCCAGGAGATTAAGGGGAGTCACCACTGGAAGAGGAAGAAATAAAGAAAAGATGTATATACCAAAGACGCTGCATTTTGAGTTCCAACCAATCACTCCAATTCGGAACCACCTCACTGCTTTAGGGTGGAACTAATTCCCCATTCACAGATCCCAGCTCCAGGGGTTGGGCAGACACTGAAGTGTGTTGAACAGAAAAGGAACTGCTAATGGCTGCCATTCACTGGATAAACTGACAAAAGGGGATTTCAAATGTTTTTCCATCTGACTTTATGTTCAAATGCACTTTCTTAAAACAAACAAACAAAACAACCCAGAGACCTTCTGTAGAGATAACAAATATCAATATTAGGAAATCCAATTATACAAAAAATACTCCATCCAAGCTGGGGTAGATAAATTTATTTTTTTAGTAACACATTAAATGGCACTAATTGCATAGTAACTAAGGTAAATAACGTGAAACCACAGAACTGCTGTATGGGGACTTGCTGTCTCTGACTAGGTCCCTTTTTCAAATAATTGAATAATACCCAGAGTTGTACGAAGAAAAGCCTTATAAGAGGTTCTGCTCTGAAGTGACTCCACATTTATTCCCCAAAAGGCCCTGAAGCTGACAGCAACAGGATATGTTAGGTAATAAAAGTAGTTAAAACCCAATTCACCCAAGTTATCACTTTTTTTCTCTTTTTAGAAAGAAGCAAGAAGTTAAATATTCCCTTGAATTAGTGCCAGATGTGCTGGTTGGGAGAACGATGAAGGTTATTAAGAGTAATATCAGAAGGACCTGTGGTGTGGACAGATGTGTTGGACACATGTGTCAGACACAGATTGTCATTAAGCAATCATGGTTGGTTTCTAATTACTAGTGGCAAGGTGATTTCTGATTTGTAAATCTCTTCAAGTAAATTAAAGATAAATGGAAAAGGCCAGTAAGCATACACTACAATTAATAAACAGCACTTTAAAAATTAACCTAGTGAGGCCTTGGGTTTTCCACTGTGTTTACAAGACAAGGCATTCATACTTTTTCTTTCTACGTCTGGCACGCAAAGCCGCTCTTGCGGCCATTTCAAAAACCACCCTCACACCTTCTTTGGTCTTTGCTGAACACTCCATATAACCAAATGCCCCAATCCGATCTGCCATATCTCTGCCTTCTTCAGGTTTCACTGGCTCCTGTTTCTTCTTGGTCAGCTCACGTCTTACGCGCTCGTCATTTCGAAGATCCTTCTTGTTCCCAATCAGGATAATGGGCACGTTGGGACAGAAATGCTTCACCTCGGGGGTCCACTTGTCTTGGACGCTTTCTAAACTCTCAGGAGTAACAATGGAAAAACACATAAGTACAACATTGGTATCCGGGTAGGAAAGAGGTCTAAGGCGATGATAATCTTCTTGACCGGCTGTGTCCCACAAAGCCAACTCCACCTGTTTTCCATCCACTTCAATGTCTGCTACATAATTTTCGAACACGGTGGGCACATAAAAGTCAGGGAATTGGTCTTTGCTGAATACAATCAGCAAGCACGTTTTCCCACACTCATCGTCACCAACTATAACCAGCTTTTTGCGGATGGCGGCCATAGTTTAGACGGTTCACGAGTCTCTGCACGCGGGGCAAGCTGCCACGTTCTAGAATTCAGATAGTTTTTACAGAAGAAACCGGCGGGAGCGCGCGCAGGCAGCGGCGGCCCATTTCCATCCTTGCGCAGTGCAGTTTATATTTTAAGATGATTCCCTTGTTACAAATATATCAATGCTTCTACTGTGTTGAGGGTTTTGCCTACAATTTAGCAATTATGTGGATTATGACACTCAATTAGATGGATAAACTAACCCATAAGAGCTCTTTCATCAACACACATATGCATGTTCGTTCATCTGTACACATGTACATACACATACATGTAATGTGTACATTTGGCACAGAGAATACATCAGTTAATTCACCTTAAATAGGAGGAGGAGAACAGGTTGAATAGCTTTCAAAATGTTGCGATCTACTTTAGGAACCTCAAACTTTTATCAGCAAAACAGTCAATCTTTTTTAAAAAATTGTAAATAAGGAATAGAGTGCCAGATGTGTAGTACGGAAGACTTGAGTTTCCTTTCCACCTCAAGATACTTACTAGCAGTATGACTCTTGGCAAGTCACTTAACTCTGGGTACACCCTCCTCCACAAGGCTCTGTCCTGAGCCCTGTCCTCTTCTCTCTCTCTCTCTTTCTTCTTCTTCTTCTTCTTCTTCTTCTTCTTCTTCTTCTTCTTCTT